TGGATGGATGGATGGATGGATGGATGGATGGATGGATGGATGGATTTTGTCTGAAGACAGCTACTGTGCATGTCAAGTTGCAGCTCTAGCGCTCTTCAGATGGTTTAGAGACACAAAAACTCTTGTTTTTATGCAAATTTGTTGCATAATTTTCTTTAACATGTTCAAAACTCAATCAACAAGACTGCGAGCCTCTACAACTCGCAAGTGGAAATTGAGAATCTCCACAAAGAGATTGGGCTATTTCATTCGCGGACCCTAAACTTTGGGACAATCTGCCCCCAGCATTAGACAGGCCACTTCACATCCTGTTTTTAAATCTCTTAAAAAACATGCCTGTTTTCACTCACTTTTAACCCACTATGATTTGATTTAGTATTTTATTGTTTTGTGTTTTACGTTTTTATTTTTATTTTTTTTTATTACTACCATTGTTTTATTTTTTTATTATTGTTAAGCACTTTAGTAATAACTGCTGTTTTTAAATGTGCTATATAAATAAATTTGACTTGACAAATATTTTTTGATATTTTGAAGACTCCTTTCTGAATGTCATTTGCCAGCTTGTCACAGTTGCAGCGCAACAAGATACTGGCTTCAGCTTCTATTGACACATTTTAATGTCCCTTCATCGTGCATTTTATTCACTACAAACCATGTAATGATGACACATCTGAGGTGCATTTGTTATTTAACGTATAGTTTTTTCAATATACCTTTACATTTACCTGACAACTTCATGTAAACACAACCTTTATTCAAAGATCAAATGTAAAGCAGCTTTTGTTAAGAAATATTTTCAAGTAACCCATTTTCCCATTTGTAATTATGGAGTGCCGTTTCCAAAATGACCATTAAAACTTTTCTCCCCTAACAGAACTGTCTCGGACAGCCGGCCTAAACCGTTTCTCTGCACTGCAGTCCACGTCTTTACCTCAGCCCTCCACCACACCTCCACAGAACCCAGACTATGACTCCAGGAGAACCCTGGGAAGGTAACTCACTAACACGGGTCCTGTTAAACCCTGCTGCTTATCAGTTTGTTCTTCTCGAGTTTCTGAGAGATTCACGTGCTTCATCCTCCTGGCTGACGAGTCTGTTTCTGTTGCCTCTCAGTGGTCGCAGCAATGCAGTCAGAGAGCGCAACGAGAAGCCTCTGATCCCGACCACGTCCTCACGACCTGGCTCATTCGTAAGGGGAGGCAGTTCAAAAGAGGTGCTGGAGAACCAAAATCCAGAGGAGTCGCGAAGAGACCGGGAGCAAGAAGGAGCAGAACCTCGGAGGCCGAGCGTCACAGAAGATAAACCTGAGCTGGAACGAGGCAAAATCAAAGAACCTGGTGAGAAAACTGCAGTACATCCCAGAAAAAAGTCCAAGTTTGGTTTCATGAAAAAACCATTTACTCGTTTACAGTATGTTCTGATATTGTGATTTTTGGTTGCTACACCAACCAATCAGTTTAAAAAAAAAAGTGTTATCTCTTCTTTAAGCAGATCGTAAATTTATAATGATGATTGTATTTGGTGATTTAATCCAAGCAGGTCAAGTTGATTTCTATCTTGCTCTTTTCACAGTAAAACCTGAGCCAGTTGTTCAAAACCCTGACAAACCTGCCCTGACTGACGAGGAGCTCGAGAGGAAGTGCAAGTCCATTATTGATGAGTTTCTGCACTTAAACGATTACAAGGTAGTGCGATTCAGTCATTTTGTTGAGTTCTTCTGTATTTGAAGACATCAACACACTGCTGCTTTGAGGAACATCCTCACTGACTTCTTTTGCATCCATCTTAACTTTCTTAACACGTTTTCCAAAGCAAATTAAAACGTTTTCCTTCATGTCTGATAGTTTGACCTGCAGTATTTGTCAAACAGTAGGTTTCTTCTCCGTATCATTTGTTTTTAAAAAGGGCTTTTAGTTTACAACAATAAACTTCTGATGAATGTAATGTGCAAAGTTCCTGGTTGTCAGTTCAGTTTATTTAATAGCACCAAGTCACAACAGAAGTTGTCTTGGTGCACTGAACAGAAACATTCATATACAGAAAAAAGCTGATTAGTAAAAGTTCTTTATCTAAGGAAGCCAGCAGACTGCGTTGCATCATCACTTTGTTGCAGTCTCCCATCCTGAGCAAGCACATTGGCAACAGTGGAAAGGAAAAACTCCCCTTTAACAGGAAGAAACCTCCAGCAGAACCAGGTTCAGGACGAGTGGCCATCTGCTTCAACCGGCTGGAGTTTGAGGAACAGGAAGGAGAAACAAACACATAATAACAGGACCAGGTGCACTTTGTATAGAAGGATAAACAAAAAAACACATGTTAAAATATAAATAATTACAAATACAAATGGGTCAAGTAAAGTAAGTAAAGACAGCAGCAGAGTGAGGGAATGTGGTCAGTTTGTCCTCCAGCAGTCAAAGCCTATAGCAACATATCTAGGGGATAGTTCAGGAAACCCAAATCGACCCTTAAAACTGGACAATGTGTCAGTTTCACAGACAGAAACTGGAGGTTGGTTCCACAAGAGAAGAGCCTAGATCTTCTTCCCGTTCTACTTTTGAATCTGTAGGAACCACAAGTAAACCTACAGTGAGCGCGAAGTGCTCTGTTAGGAAAATATGAGACTATAAGATCTGTAATATAAGATGGAGCTAGGTTGTTGAGTGCTTTGTATGTTAGAAGTAAGATTTTGAATTCAACGGGTTTCCTGATCTGTCCTTTTGTTGTTTTCTGCAGGAGGCTGTCCAGTGTGTGGATGAGCTGGATTTGGGCCCTCAGCTGCACATCTTCGTGCACGTTGGGGTGGAGTCGACCCTGGAGCGCAGTCAGATCACACGGGACCACATGGGCCAGCTCCTCTTCCAACTGCTGCAGCAGGGAATCCTGCCCAAACACCATTTCTACAAAGGGTGAGTTCTCCTGCTTCACAAGACTGTCTGAGATTCTGCAACCTGGTTATAGTTCGTTTTAAATACGTTGCTGCAAAGAACAAAGATATTTAACTTTTATTTTGTTTTGTCCAAGTATTCAGCTCATTTTCCTTTAAATGTAATTTGTTGGGGGGGGGGAATTAGTAAAATTATTTAAAATGAAGCCATTTTTTTCATTTTAAGATATTTTTCTCAAAATTACATTTGTACATAATTACTTTGATTTCTGTACAGCATTTGAGGTCTAAGGGATTTTTTTGTCTTGAAATGTAATTAAATAAAAAAACTAATATTTTTAACAAATTGTCTTTTTAGTTCTCTTTATAAAGTAATGATCTGTGTATTGTACTTTTTAAAGTAAATGCAATAATCTGAAAAATTCCTAATATATTAACTTTTTCTACAAATGTAAAAATAAAAGTATACCCAAACATTGAGACAAAATATTGTAACAAAAAAAAAGCTTAAAAGGTGTATTACTATTATTATTATATTTTTCCCCAGTTCTGACTTTTAATCTCTGATTTATGAGGAAATAATTTAATTTTGACTTTTTTTCTTAGAATTCATGGCTTAGAAATCCAATCATTACGTTTTAATCCGTTCCATTTCTAATCATCTTTACACTTTGTGTTTTCTAAGGTTTTCAGACACGTTGGAGATGGCTGATGACATGGCCATCGACATTCCCCACATCTGGCTGTACCTGGCCGAGCTGCTGAGCCCAGTGCTGAAGGATGGGGGCCTCTCTATGAGAGAGCTCTTTAGGTACTGAGATGTGCTGCTGAGCCCAGATGCTGAAAACCCAGTAACATCTGGTGTCTGGGCAGGAAACTCACTACTTTGTGTTGTAAACGCTGCAGTCCAAGAAATCACCACTTGGTTCTTCAGCTCTCTTTCCTGATGTGGCATCTTTAAAATTCAGTCACGTGTGTGCAGCAAGTTAACTGGTTTTATTTGTTTGTTCACAGCGAATTAAGCAAACCTTTGCTTCCTGTTGAAAGAGCCGGGATCTTAATCTCTGAAATATTGCACTCACTATGCAAACACATGGTAAGCATTACTTCATCTTTTTGTTTCTCAGAATACACTCGTGTTAACTTTCCTGATTATGAAGCCATCAGAATATATTTGAATGTATGTTTCCATGGTGCACTGCAGTATAATGAATCATTTAGTTTGGGTTTTAGATATAAAATAAAATGAACAAGTCAAAAGCATTTTTGATCCAGTTGCATCAAACACATTTAATTCACGAAAAGTGACATTTTAACACATTGAATGTAAAACGACTGCTTGTTGATTAAAGCGTTTTACAAATTTTGTTGCCACCTCTTTTTAAAGTAATCACATTTTTGTTTCATATAAATAACAAGCACCTTGAGCTTGCATGGCTCTGTCCTGAGCTGTCAGGAGTATGTTCATGACAGCATCCATACTGCTGAATAAAAAAAATAAATTGAAATTGTGTATTTGGACAATCTGGGAACGACTGATCAACGCTCATGTTCTCCTGAGAGCAATGACCGTTTGACACATTGATGTAGCTGCACTCACAAGTAAAACTAGAGAAATTGCATTTCCTGCAAAAATGTAGTGTGAATGCTTATTGCTGAAGAACTTGCTGAAAAACAGCTGAAATTAGCTAAAATGGAAGAACAAGCCTAAATTAGCAGAATAAAACAGAAAGAACACATATTTGCTGAATTAGATTTAAATAAGAAGAAATAAGCAGAAAAATTAGGAAATTAGATTAAAAAAAATTTAAAAAGCTGAAATTAGCAAAACTTGGCTGAATAGAAGCTGAAAAGACAGAAAGAAGCTTAAACCAGAAGGAGGTGGAAGGAGCTGAAATGAGCTACAAAAAAATGTGGAATTAGTTGCTAAACAAAAAACAGCTAAAAGTAGATGAAATGGCAGAAAAAGCTGAAACTACCAGTAAAAAATAGCTGAAAGGAGTATAACAAGCTGAAATTAGCAGAAAGAAGTGAATTACCTGTAGGCTGAAAATAGCAGAAATTACCATGAAGAATTTATCTGAAACCAGTGGAAATTAGCTAAAAAAAAAAATTAGCAGAAGTAAGCAGAAAGAACGTTTGTCCATTTATGCTGAAATAAGCAGAAATGAGCACAAAAAAGTGGAAATTATCTGAAAAAGCTGAAATTACCAAAAGACCTGCAGAAAAGTAGCTTAAAAAGCAGAAAAAAGTTTAAATTACCAGAAGGAAGTGGAGAGAGCACATTTTTGCTGAATTAGGCTAAAAGAAGATGAAATGAGTGCCAAAATTGTGGAATTAGTTGAAAAAGCCAAGATTAGCATAAAAACAGCTAAATAGTAGTTGAAGTAGCAGAAAAATATGAAACTTGTGTAAATAAGCTGAAAGGAGCATAACAAGCTGAAATTAGCAGAACGAAGTTATAAGCACAAAAATGTTGTAGTTAGCAGAAAGAATCGGAAAGGAGCACAAAACAGCTGAAAAAGACCAGCTAAAATTAGGTGAAGGTAGCTGAATTTTTTTTAATTATTATTTGTACAAGGAAGCTGAAAGAATCTGAAGCGGAACAAAATGTGAAAGGAGCAGTAAAATGTTGTAAACGGATCTAAAGATCTGAAGGATGTAGAATTAGCTCAGTTCATTTTCTGTGAGAACAAAGATGGCAGAAAAGGCTAAATATTTCATAAAAGCTAAAGTTGCACCAATACCAAAAAGTCATAGCAGGATTGTCCTGATGAGCTGAACATTTTGAGAAGTGATTTGTTGAAATAGCACAAAAAATGTGGAACGAAAAAGATGTTGAAAAACACATGGAAGAAAAGTGGATCACAATAGTGTGAACGCTTCAAAAACATCCACACAATGAGTGACCTCATCATCTCAGCTAGTTGCCTCCATGTCCTTGAGGCTGGAGAATGGCTCGTTCATTCACGATTCATCAAGAAACAAAACTTAAATTCTCCTGAGACACTCTGGTTTAGATGGGTCTGCACCTCTTTGCAGAGTAAAATATTACAATTTTTTAATCTGCCATTAAAAAATGTAGTTCTAGTTTGATATTTTTTACTCTTCTCTGGTTTGTGCAGAAATGCCCTTCACTGCACGTTGTTTGATTCGGCACCGTACGTTTGTACCCTGGCTTCATTATCGAGGATGAAAGTGTTCACGAGTTACTGATTTGAATCAGAAACGCTTCGGTCAGCTGCTCGTACAGCAGAAGAGTTGAACTTCTTAAACAGTAAAATCTGTCACGCGTTGGGGAATATTCTGAGCACTTGTCAGCACAAAACGTGTGTACTGGCAGAGTTTGATGCACTTCATCCTCCTGACGCATACTTTTTGATAATTTAATGTTTTATTTCAGTTTTCTAAACGTGTGTAAATCTAAATTTAACAACCTGTGTATGATTAAAAACCTTTAAACCTTAAAGTTATTAGCAGGGATTCAAGGTTAGGAACTGATGAGTTACAATAAGTACTGCTTTTTATTTTATTGTACTTGAATATTTGCTACTTTTATACATATTTTTAATTGAAATTCAAAGTCTTTAAATATTTATATTGTCACTATCGCACTGCACCAACCAAGTTTAAGAGAGAGAGAAACGCAACATTGTGTCTCGTGTCCACAGAGCCACAGGGCTGTGAGTTCTTTATGGAGGGAGTCCGGCCTCAACTGGGCCCACGTTCTACCAGAGGGAGAGGATGTTCAGGCTTTTCTCTCCCAGCAGGTTAGTAACAGAGACCATCTCGGTTCTGATCCATCAGCTGTGAGAATACTTGGACTTCCATGTTCTCACCTTCACCTTTTTCCCCTCTCATTATCGTGTGTGTCACATCTGTGCTGAGCTTCTCTTTTGTCTTGTTTACACAAACAGAAACTCCAGTTCCTTGAACCGGACAGCTCCGGTCCTGATGAGGCTCAAACCAAAAGGATCTTGCCTCCTGAGGAGCTGAGCCAGCAGCTAGAGAAACTCCTCGTGGAGGACATGGCCAGTGACGAGCACATCTTTGACTGGGTAGAGGTACGATAACAAAACGCCTGTTCGGTGGAAAGCATCGCACAGACCTGGTGACTTCAAAGGAGCCAAGTGATCAGTCAAACCTTTATGAGTTTTGATCTACTACAGCCTCAGTTCTGATGAAGTCGGGTCACTGTGTCAAACTTAGACACAGAATGCAGTCTGAAATCTCAGAAAAGTTGGGACAGGGCCAGGTTTACGACTGAAGCGTCCCCTCTCCTTTTACCAACAGTCCCTGAACAGGAGGCTGAGCACAAATGACCCTTCCAGAAGCTTGCACTGATGCTCACTATCATTAGTGTGAGTGGGTGTGAAGAGGATTATAAAGCATTGTAGCTAAAAGCACAAATTCAGTTTATTTCCTCACTTACTATCAGACTCGAACGTGGATAACAGCAGTACTGAGTATCAATCAGTTTTCAGCTGACATGGTGGAAAAATTACAAGAAGCTGGATGTTCAGTGCTGAGGAAAATTAACTCTTGGTCTGCTTTACACACAGATGTGAGGAATAATAATGTGCTGCTTCAGTGCTCTGAACTCACACAAGCTGCTTCATTCTGTAACAGAACCAGCTCTTTAGAACACAGATGGCTTTTTATTTGCTGTCCTGCTCTTTAGCAGCGACACTGCTAAGCTAAATGTGATCCGTGTTCTCAGGCAAACCTCGCTGAGTCTCAGACGAGCTCGTCTCCCTTCCTGAGGGCTTTGATGACAGCTGTGTGTAAGGCAGCAGTGAAAGGTAAGCACTTCCACACCTGGAGGAGACACTTCTGTTATCTGAGAACTGTTGCTTGTAATATTGACGCCACTCACCCTGCCGCCTGCTTCGCTTAACAGACGATAACGCCAGCTGTCGTGTGGACACGACCATCATCCAGAAAAGGTTGCCTGTTTTACTCAAGTACCTTAACTCAGACACTGAGCGACAGCTGCAAGCACTTTATGCACTTCAAGCGCTGATCGTTTCCCTCGATCAGCCTCCAAGTAAGTGCTGCGTCAAAGTGAAAACTGGTTACAAAGTTACATGTTGTAAGGGCAGTTTAGCTGCAACATCACCCCATCTGAAAGATCATGTTGAGGCCGTTTATCAGTGAAGTGTTGATTTTATTCACAGAACAGCTGGTACTCAATTTCCTCTTCATGGAGGCTTGAAAAACTTGGCTTTTACCCAAATTTGCTTTCTAAGATCGGTGGATTGTGGCAGCCATCTTGAAATGAGTTGACTCAAAAATTATTCATTTGTAGATGTACACCCAATGATCACTTTCCAACAGCTTCATTTCATCCAGTAGTTCATGATATTTTGCTAACAGACTAAAGGAGTTGACTCGTAATTAATAGCAAAAGATGTGGAGCAGAAGTCACATGACTGGTTAGCTCTCTGGGATTAATCTGGGAATGGTTCTACGATGAACACAACATACTTTAGCTCAGTATCTGTATGTTTCTGAATGCAGTGGTTTGTGTAGAATGTTTTTTGTTACTTTTTTAAATAAAAGTGGTCAGGATGATAAACTGTGAATAATCCAACAAAAATGTAGTCGAGCTCATTACTAAAGTTTTTGAACTATTCGAAAGGTTTTGCATCTGTCTGCAAAACAGAAAAGATCAATATGGAGTTGATCTGTAGACTTACAACTTGAACTGAACTGCTTTAGAAAAACATCAAAGTTGATGCTCAATAATCCAGGTCAAACTCAATAATCCAGGTCAAACTCCAGCAAAGTTGAGTCAGGTCCTCTGGACAGTTTCTTTTTTGTTGAGATGTTTCATCTTTTATCCAAAACACTCCAAGGAGCCACAACAAACTCAGTCCCATTAGCAGCACACTCACATAGTGGGCCAAGCAGTTTGATGGTGATAAGATGGTTTCTGGAGTCTGCCCTCTCCCCCGCTGACTCTCCTGAGGCAGCCATGGTCCAAGTGGTTCAAAACGTCAAATACGAAACGTTTCAACACAAAGAAACCGTCCAGAGGACCTGACTTAACTTTGTTGTATTTTTAGCCTGGATTGTTGAGCATGAACTTTGATGTTTTGAACAACTTTGAACCATGGCTACCTCAGGAGAGTCTGTGGGGGAGAGGGCGGGCCCCAGAAACCATCTGAGCATCATCAAACTGGTTGACTCACTATGGGTATGTTTACATGGACATAAGTAACCGGATCAAATGACCGGTCGGAATAAAAACGTGTCATGTAAACGCTCCGTTCAGGTTATTTTTTGTGTATTCGGCGCGATCCGATATAATTTGTGATCAGAACGAAACGGGTGGTTTACGCCGATCCGTAACCCGATCAGTGCGCATGTAAACGCTCGAGCTGTTCGTTTTTATCTGATCGTAAAAAACTGACCTGACTGCGCATGTGCGACTTTGCCATTTCCGCCTGGCTAATGCTAATAATATTAGCATGTCAGGGAAGTAAAACTGGTCGGTGAGCGACAACATTTCTACTAGAAACTTTGAAAGAGCTCAAAATGATTTCTATTACCTGTAGCTCAGCCAGGGAGTGCAGTAACGTCTCCACCGTCATTAAAACCTGTCGCGGGTCCATTTTGGACACTCAGACTTGTTTACGTTCACCCCGGAAGTAGAACTACTTCTTCTGTGGTTTTTTTAAGGAGAGTTTACCACTCTGCACATGTCAGTACTGCTGTTCAGAACAAAGCCCGCTGCAGGTAAACGCTCGTCATGAACAGATAGTGCCCATGTAAACAATACATTTGAATTATTCAAACAGAACACATTTCAATCCGGTCAAAGAATTCTGCGCATGTAAACATAGCTTATGTGAAGGTGCTATTTATAAGACTGAGTTTGTTGTGAAAGATGAAACATCTCAACAAAGAAGAAACCGTCCAGAGGACCTGACTTAGCTTTGTTGGGTGTTTTAGACAAAAATATAAATAAATATTTAAACTATTTAATTTTCACTTGTCTTGTACAGATGGAACAGCTCGTTCCCCTCCCGTGTTTGGAGTATTTGACCTCAGTTTAAATTCATGTGATCAGATGATGTCAGAAAGCAACAAGTGACAACACTTTTGTTTTTTACAGACCTTCTCCGGATGTTTTTCGACTGTCTGTATGATGAGGACGTCATTTCGGAGGACGCGTTCTACAAATGGGAGTCGAGCAAAGACCCTGCTGAGCAGGAGGGTAAGGGTGTGGCCCTCAAGTCCGTCACAGCCTTCTTCACCTGGCTGCGGGAGGCGGAGGAGGAGTCTGAGGATAATTGACGAGGGAGACGCCCGGGACACGGCGTAGAACTGCATCTTTAACACCAGAACAAACTTTCAGAACGGCTGCGCAGACGGAACGACGTGTTTACGGCTGGATTTTCTTTTTCTTTCCTCCCCCCTTCCCCTCTGCGGTACGGTTCTGAAACATGCCGCCATCTTGAGTTTGGAGTCCATCTGTGGAAGCACTAAATATCTGTATCATAAATAGAAAATATTTTTGTTTTAAATTTTAACTTACTTTTTTGTTACTTTTTAAGAAGAGACTTAAAAGATACATAGGTTCTGGACTTCTTAATTTATTATTTTTTTAAGGACTGCAAATATGAAAGTTATTTAACATTTGCAGATGCTCACAGTGAGGACACAGCAACAGAAATAACAATATAATTATTATAACAAAATAATTGAGGTAAATATCTTCCCTGGATTTCACACTGTTTTGTTGAAAACAGGGTAAAAGCAAAAAAAAAAAAAAAAAATTAGAATGAAGGGGAAGTAGCGCAGCAACAAAGGAGTGGATAAACAAGAACTATTAACGCTGTTGAAGGTCAGAGGTCATCTTGTAATAACCTGGAGGTTTTCCCATTAGCCTTGCTCTGCGCTGATATGAACACGCCTCATGAGAGGTTGTAAATGTGCATCCGAGAAGCGATGCAGGTCAGAACTGTCGAGTTGTGCAGACGAACAAAACGAAAAATAAACAGAAGTTCAACTTCAAAAAGGCCAGGGGTGCTAAACAAGAGATGCTTGTAATACTCCAGACCTACAGAACAGATTAAAGCTTGTAAATACATTAAAAACAAACAAACAAAACGATTTAAAAATCTGCTCTTTCTTGTCACTCCTTATTTGAAGTGTTGGAGATGGTGGCTTACAAGAAAATATATTTGTCTTGCGTTGGAGTGTTCCTGTTCTGGATGGAGAAGATCTGAAGAGGAGCGACCGGACCGGCAGCTGGAGGATCTGCTGAACCTCGAGCTTCAGCTCTCACTGTGAATGTTGACTTGTTGCTTCACCTGTTTTTGTTTTGGGTCTTCCAGGTCATCATTAGAAGATCTTAAAACGAAAGCAGTTTCTGTTTAAGCAGCCCAATGTTGCAGCGATGACCGGTATTTTTCTCTGTTTGCTCGTACTAATAACTCGGTGCGTCGTCGTAGTGCGTCATAAAATGAGCACAATTAAAATCACACAGGTGAACAGATGCACAAATTTACTGTAGGGTGAACGTAAAACATCTTTCCGTTATAACTTGTGTACAGATTTTCTTTTTGTTTGTCTTCTAAAACAGCTGCTCTCATGTAATGCCAATAGACTTTCTATGACAACATCTGGATTACATTTGGATTTAGATGAAAGTTGTTTGAAATTGGATTTTCAGTGTTCAACCAGTTTGTTGACCTAGATTGTATTTTTATTGGGGTGGGGTTACTTTCACAAACCAGACTTCACCAAGTTTGAAGCAATAGTTCTTCATACTCTGTAGACCTTCACAGTTTTTATTGAAATTTGTTTCAAACTCAAGGGCTGAGCCCGTATTATGTTCTCCGATTGGCATGACAGTTTTGGAAAGTGTATTTAGATTCAACAAAGTTAAGTTGGGTCCTCTGAACAGTTTCTTTTTGTTGAACCACTTTGGCCAGGGCTGTCTCAGACGAGAGGGCAGACTCCAGAAACCATCTTGGCACCAACAAACTGGTTGATCCACTATGTGAAGGTGCTATTTATAAGACTGGGTTTGTTGCGGCTCCTCAGAGGAACTGTTTCAACAAAAAGAAACCGTCCATAGGACCTTTGTTGGATTTTTCACCTGAATTCTTGAGCATAAACTGATATTTTTAGATCGTTTCTCCAGTAGGAAAATGTAATTTGCTCAGATTTTCATAATTAATCATACAAATGCCAAAGTTAACAGCTCAACAAGCGAAATGCTTTTCCAGCATCAAGTTGATTCCTGCTAGGGGATAGATTTGCAAACAATAGATGGGTCAACTTAAGGATGGAGGTCGTGTGTCAGGCCTTAGTGGTTTCCCCCACTGATTCTTAAGGATTCCTGCTACTATTTTCTTCCTCTTTAGCACATAATGTCTCGAGACTCCACATAATTTATCAGGATTTTCCAATAAATTCAATATTAACTTCAGTCTACATTTTGATCAGTCCATGCTGTAGCTGATATTATATGAAAAAGATCATTTCAATCTTAAGGTTATTTTGGTGGATGCTTGACACAAACAAAACGGGTTCTACGGTAATTTCTACTGTAAATGTGCTCCAATAAAAACTTTATGGTTGTATTTTTTTACAAAATTTTAATGTTTTAGGGAGGTGGCTTAGTTTATTTTGTTTCTGAAGGGAGCAGTTTAACTTGTGTATTCGTTTCCCGCCCTGTCCCTGGCTCCATTTTTGAATCTGTTGAACGTTCTTTACGTGCTGCGTGACGTCTGACGTCACCAACGATCCAAGTGGGGCGGTGCTCGTTAACAGCGAAATCGAAATAAAGGATCGTGCAGACATTTCTTTCAAAACAAATTTTCCCGGATAAGTTGAAGGTACGTTTTCCGCGCTTTAAGATTACTTATTTGCCACACAAGAACTTGCACGATGTGTAAACCTAAAAAAAAAAGCCGTAGTGGATTTTTTTTCAAATCCTGCAGTTGAAATGAATTTGGGTTGTGCGACGCCATTACTGTTTCTAAATCAACGAACAAAATGGCGAATTTGCGGGAAATAAAATGCAGCTAATTGTTTGTTGTTTGATAATAGCTGCTGGATAAGCAATACTGCGGCATGTCGACTTAAAAGACGGTCGACATTTTGTGAAACATAAAAAAAGAATTGCATCTTTGTTGCTGTTCTGGACTTCATCGATGATTGAATGAAGTGGGTTTGGCCGTGGTGTGTTTTCACCGTGCACACAAACACAAAAGGACAACAAAACCAGTGCTGTGCTCATGGATTCTCCCTGTGTTCAGGTAACGCTCCCATTATGCCGATTCGCCGTGCAGCAGCGACTCCAACTCAGGAGAAGGCGCCCTCCGCGGTTGCAGAGAAAGGTGAGGCCGGGGTCGTCCATGATCCCCGCAACAGCAGACCCGTGAACGCACCACTGACACAGATTCACTGAGGTCAGGCAGGATCTGTTGGGATCCACAGTGCTCTGGATTTTCAGCTCAACGCAGTTCTTGCTTTATTCACACAGACTGGGCTGGATGTTATGGACTTGTAGATCTATCGCAGTGTTTTCTGGTGTTTATTGCAAAGCCAGTTAATTCAACACCATTTTGTTTTGTCTATAAATGTCACAGTGTGGCCTCGCAGACATGTCTCAAAGGAAAACTCACCCATTAAGTCACGTCAACTTTATTTATAGAGCACATTTAAAACGACCTGCTATCAGAGTGCTTAACAATGGGAGTGAAAAAATACCAAACACTAATAATGATACTGAAGAATTAATAAAAGGCATTTAAAACGTAGAATCACAGAAGAAGAAGAAAAACACTAAATCAATTCACATTGAAATGCCTGCGAAGAACAGACGTCGCAGGGATTTGAAGGGAGGTGGCCTGCCTAATGTTGGGGGGCACGTTGTTCCAGATAAATAAATAAATCCAAATAAAATCAAACATGCCCGTTACTAATATGCTGCTTTTCCACATCAGTTATTTAAATAGTACAGCTGTGCTGTTAAAGAGTCGATAATGACTAATCAAATTTATGGTGTTTGAAACACAAATTCAGTTTTATTTTAAATTTTTTTAGATTTTATTTCGGTCAGTTCAAACAGGATCCATGTGTATATGATAATTATAACTTCACCAAACTATGTAAATAAAGATGTTCAATTGGCATTAATCATATTTAGTCATGAGTCGTTACGAGTTTCTGTTTTTAACAATTTCACAACAAAGTTGAGTTGGGTCCTGTGGACGGGTTAAACAATAAAAATTAAAACTGTTTCATCTTTAATCCAAAAGACTTGCATCTTGCTGTTCCCCCTCTTACGACGCTGTTATTGCTAGTATCACTCAGTCCCCTGTGAATAGCAAGCGGCCATCAGGGTGCTAATGACCCATTGTTAGGCTGATGGTCCTCGTTTATCATGTGAACAGCTGGTTTTGGCCGTCGCCAACAAACCAGTTGATCCACTATGAGGAGGTGCTATTTATAAGACAGAGTTTGTTGCAGCTCCTCAGACTGACGGTCTTTAGGATTAAAGACAAAACGATTTTATTTATTTATTTATTTTCAATCCATCCAGAGGACCTGACTCAACTTTGATTTTTCTACCTGGATTGTTGAGCATGCATCAGGAGAATTTCACAACATTAACAAATAGATGTGCTGTGATTTGTTTAATTTAAAAGCAGATCTGTAAATATTAATACTACTAAGATTATATTTCTGGAATACTACTGTAATTTCTGAACTATTGAACGCACCAGAGTATAAGCCGTGCCCCCTACATTAAAAAAAAAAAAATTGTACCTAGTTTTGAGTATAGGCCATACTTGTCGATAAGCTGTAGGTGTCTACGTTGCAACGTGAGATATTTACACAAAAAGTTTTTTTTACTTTTAAGTAAATACTGTAGCGACAGCTCACAGAGAGAACTGTGCACCTCTTGTCGTAGATTAGGAATCATCCAGCAGGTGGTGTTTTATAGGCTTTATTTTACTGTTCAACACAGAGTGAACCCCACAGGTCTTCTAACTCCCTTATTCATGATTACTCTCCTGAATGGCCTAACACACAATGAACATGTAAACTAGGCTAAGAAGAACAGAATAATCACTAAAAGATCAATGCTAAACAGCTAACTGATTAACAATGAACCTAGATTTTACCCATAATCCCTCCCTGAGGTCATGTGACCGATCGTCAACCACAGCAGAATGCTACAATACGTACAGTAAATCTTTTTTCTGAACAGTGCCTGTAGCATGTCTGGTAAAAATAAATAAATAATATAGCCTATCAGGAAATCATTGATCGTTGTCTTCAGCTATATGGCCATCTTCCTTCTGCGCACTGCGCCCCCCTCCCTGGGGGCACAACGGGGGACAAGTAACCCCCACCATCCCCTGTGGACCAATGAAACTTGGTTTTATTGAGTGTGACCTTTGGTAATTTCATTGGACAGATTATTTTTTTTACCTTTTATACAGGTAGTCTCATTGAGTCACGAGAACCCACCCCCCAAGAGAGACGTGTTGGAAAGCCACGGGAGCGCCCGGGTGTGACTGTTGCGATAAACGATAAATCAATTAATCACATGATGGATGAAAATTATCGACCTCATTTTCATTTACCGGCTTTATCGTTTCTTCGTGTCTCTCTTTCTACTGAAGCCACGGCTCAACTCCGGTGCTCTTCACTGACCTCTTCTCTTTAAAATCTGTTTTAACCGTTCAAAAATCACATTTTTGGATCCTTGAAAGCAGCTAAGCTGAGAAGCTAAGCTAACAGGCCGACCTCGGGAATAAACCTCCATCTTGTCGAGCTCCAAAACTCACAGTTGAAAACTGTGCCTTTATGTGAATCTCTGTAAAAAGAAGCTGAGAACTTGTTTACTGATTTTTTAAATTTATTTATTTAATTAAAAGTTTTGTGTTTAAAAAAAAAAGCTATGCTAAAGAGCTCAAACCACACCGAGCAGCCGCCATGTGAACTCATGTCACATCAAGGGCCCTCCCTCCCATTTTTCTTTAGAGAGACTTGCTGCTCATCTGTCCATCCTTTGGTTCAGTCTTCTACTGCTATCAGGTGATCAATAAAGGTACTAAACTCAAACCAATCACCATTTCTTCTAAAATTTGACAATTATTAAATTTCAAACCATATTATCGTTTATCGCTATAATTTCTGAGACGATTAATCGCCCAGCAAAGTTTGTAATCGTGACCAGCCTAGGTGTGACGAGGCTAAATGTTTTGGCAACATGAAGCTTGTTGGCTCATCAAAAAAAAAATTCATAAATTAGCCGCAGCGTTGTATAAGCCAAAGCGTGTGTGTGTGGGGGGGGGAGTAGCGGCTTTTTAGTAGTCTGGAAATTACGGTAATTTAGTCAAATTTGATATACTCATTTATAGTTTCTGATATTTCAGAAAAGAATGGCAGAACTAAAAGTGTTGTCAGTAACTGCTTAAATGTGAGGTGTTTCATGCACTTGCAAGGCTAATTTTAAATTATCTTTCTTCAGTCTAATAATTGAAATTTGAGATCAAGGATGGACTCCTAATGCAAGACACAAAGATGGGAGACCGTGTTTAAATTAGATGCTGTTGTGCAGAATATTTCTTCTTTGCTGCTCTGATTTTTGTAACGTGTTGTTTGAATCCAGCAACACTGTCATTAAAAGTCTGTTTCACCACATTAACTCTTGTAGCTTGGTACAAGTTTCAAAATGTTACCTTCAAAAGAGTGACGGAGCTCACTTGGTAGACAAGGTAAGCTGGTAGTTGTGTATGGTGATGGATAATTTTTTATTGTGTGTGTGTGCGCGTGTGCATTTTTGTTTTAGGTTACGTTGTGGGAACCAATTTTTCAAAAAAAATCCTACATTGTGGGGACAAAATCAATATCTTAGTTCATATCTTAGATGTTGTTACTGTTTTTCTTATACCTTTTATTGTTGGATGTAACTTTCCTAGTACTAGTTTACCATTACTAGTACTAGGCATGTACTAGTAATGGCTAGGTTTAGGGAAAGGGTCAGGCTATAGAGAATGAATAGAAGTAAATGTAAAGTCTCCAAAAAGTATGTTTACAAGAATGTGTGTGTGATTTTGACTTCCTACACCCACACTATACGCAGAGTGGTGTGTGTGTGTGTGGGGGGGGGGGTGTTTATGCAGTTCAGTGCAACGTCCAGTCCGTCAATTTACAGATGCATGGTTCAACACAGGAGAGCCACCTCCTCAGGTCAAGACTCCGCTGTTCACCTGCACCTCAAGGATAAGGAACACTCATTTGAGGTCCAACATTTTGGACCGAGAAGACACGAGGAGCGAAACGTCTTCTGTTACAAATAAAGTCCAGTTGTTTTTGTCTTGAACTTCTTTGAATGTACCGTGTCCTGGACGACTGAGAATCTTCACCAGCAACTTACTACACTGTTTCTGCTTTGTTGCCTTCTAGATCCAGAAGCCTCCGATGAGGAGTCGCCCTCTGCTGATGAAGAGCAGGCAGCGTCTTCAGCTGCAAGAGGCGAAGATGAGGAGGGGGAGAATTCAGGTGACGCGAATGCCGACAAGAATGAAGACGCTGCTGAAGAGGGAGTGGAGGGAGAAAAAAAGGATGAGAAAGAGTGAGTTACAACAGACGAGTTGAAAAGTGAAAAGGCTGCGATATTTCACTTTGATAGCCCTTTTATCAGATCCTGTTCTCCTTACCTCTGCTGGATAACTGCAGACGGCTCCTCTTGTGGTTGCAGTGTTGCATTTCCAATAAATGTGATGTCCTGTCACAGCCACATTTGTTCCCTGTATATTAGAAGAGTTGATACTAATAAATCGATAGCTAATAACTAAAATAATAAATAATAGCTGCTGATGGGCCAGCAGTCACGCGGCAAACTTGATTTAACACCAGCTCAGTTTACTACAAGAGCAAAACAGGCATTTTGTTTCTTTTTTTTAGTTTAGTTCTTTTTCTTATGACAAAAATTAAATGCGCGGTACACCAAAACTCACTGTTCTGGTGATCTGCTCTTAAAAATAGCCTTTTTTTTTTTTTTTTTTACTTTATTTTGTTCGTTCTGATAGACACATGCACAAGATGAATTTACGTTGAGCTTCTTTTTTGGTGTGTTTTTAGCAGGGTGCCAGTTCTGTGTGAACAATAAATAAGATTTTAAAAAATTACTTATAATAAAATAGCTAGAACTAACGGGAAAAGATAACACTATGCAGGTTCTTAGTCTTTATATCTGTTTTGCACATTTATGCAAGAAAGAAATGCTGATCTTTAATTTGTCTGCAAGTGATAAAACTTGTTGAGCTGGTTGAAAAGCCGTAGTCAGTTTCTGCTGAGTGTTGGGCCTTGTTTACGCGATGCGTTTTCTAAATGGAGCGTTCGGCCATTCATTTACATGACAACAGCTCTCACTCCCTGAAACCAAAGGTTTCTGAGTCCTGAGATGTTCTGGGGAACTCCCTGCGGAGATGTGAAATTCTCTGTGTGTGACATGGCGCATGCGCACTACAGGCAGCTGCAGTCCACAGTTTCTCCGCACTGACAACAGTTACAATAAGTGATGGAGAGCAGTGGTTTTTGTGCCACTCGCCCTTTTTCAGCACATAGAAGCAAAACCAAATCCAGGGTCCAAAGAGACATTAGTGCATTCGTGAGTTTGGAGTAACCATGATCGTGCAGACACAGCATGCTCAATGAATGCAGCTGAGCCCAGCATCATGGTTGCCAGGTACATTTAAGATGTTTATTTCTTGTGCACATGTTCAACAAACAACACACTCAGCACGTATGACCGTTTAGGTCAAAATACTATTATTTTAAAGCGACAATACTATAGTTCATAATTTCTTATCTGGCAACCCTACTGACATGGAAACTACATAATTTTTGAAAAAACACTAACATTTCCAGAGGTTGTTCTCATGTAACCAGGGCCTTGGAGACAAAAAAACAAAACCCATGTGACCCCAGGCAGTAAGTCTGCCTCTTAGCTGCAGGTGATTTAGTGTGAAAGGCTTAAAATTTTGTAAGTTTGATCCTCCTCTTTTTCCCTTTGGCCTCAATTCATTTTTAGGAATAGTCATTTTAAACCAAAGTCAAGTTACGATGATGGTAAATAAGACAGATGTTCTAAAGCTTCATTTTGTTTTTTCCATCGGTGACAAACGGGACAAAAGTGTGAAATGCCCGGACTGCGAGGCTGGACAGTGCGCAACACACTGCTTTGTTCTCCTTCTAAGGTGAGGATGTGATGACGATAAAGGTGATCACAGTGAAATATCGCTTGTAAAACACCAAGTCGCTTCACTCAACTTATGTTGCTCCTTCTGGCGGCAGGATGAAGGATGGCTACAAGTATGAGAAATCCAAAACCAAGAAGGTGAAACGGACTATTCCTGCATGGGCTAGCGTCACTGCCAGCAAAAGCATTCCTGTAACCAACTATGCAGGCACGCAGTGCAAAGTGGATAGCATCATTATCGAAGCTATAATGGTGTGTACAAACTCGGAGCTTAACTTTTCATTGCAGCCAGTCTCAGTAACATTTCCTTCTGTAAAGATGTCTGTGTGATTTCTTGTATTATCGTTTTAACAGTCCTCTCAGGACAAGGCAGGGATTTCATTCCAGTCACTCATGAAATATATTCTGAAAAAATATCCCAATATGGAGCTCGACAAGAAGAAGAAGTTTCTCATCAAGAAAGCTATGAAGAAACACGTGGAGAAGGGCACAGTCAAGCAGGTACATAAATCTTACTGGAACAGCTGGGCTTGCTTTGTTTGATTCAAAATGTTAATTGTTTCCAGTAGATCAGACTTTTTCTTTTATCTAAAAAAAAAAAATAAGGCCTTGTCCCAAATTCATGACTTAAAAACGCCAATTGGTCTTTGACTGCATTTTCTTATCATCTTTTACAGAGGTTTAAAGATGTGTATTAATATTTATGTATATACCACTTGTTTTTAAAGTCTTAAATCTAGCTTGGTCTGACCTTAAGAGAACCCATTAAGTCAAGTCTGCATTCTCCCGTTTCCCCCGTGTCTCCTAGCTGAAGGGTAAAGGTCTTTCAGGAAGGTTTGCCATCGGAAAGAAGCCTCCTCCAGCAAAGGTACGTTACAGTAGACGTCGTGCTCGACTGTTTCTCAGCTGAAAGAAGCTGTAGCACGTCCGTCACGCAGACTACTACTGAAACTCTTTCTGCATGCGTCGTGCAAACAAAACATGACAAGTGGTCGTTAAAGGGTTGATGGTTGCAACATTCCCACACTTTCCAGGTTCTGAAATGAGCACAAGTCTTCTTGTAGCTTTGTGTTTAATAAACTTAAGCACACTCAACTATCTTGTGCTGCTCTGTTTTTATCCTTTTTTTGTTGTACAGTAATTTGTAACCACAAAAGTGGCTAAAATGATGCTCTCTTAGGTCCAGTACCATACTTAAATCAGATTTATACTAGTTTCTTTCTCAGTTTGATGTTTGCGCCCAGTGAAGCTGAAAGTGTTTGGTTGTAATCTTCATGTGTTGATGGCTGGTGTTTCAGAAAGGTGCCCAGAAGCAGGAGTCTCTAGGGGATGCTCTTCCTCTCATCTTCACTCGACTCTGTGAGCCTAAAGAGGCCTCCTACACCCTGATCAAGAAATATCTGAAGCAACACTTCCCCAACTTCAACATCGAAAACAGGTATTGTCTAGCATATCGTTTTTACCACTACACGTTTAATTATCAGTTTAATTAGCTTTTACAAGACTTGTAAGTCTTTTCAGACTATTTGAGGCACTGTGCCTTTACAAAAACCAGAAATATTGAAATTAATTGAATGAAATTCCTGTAAAATGAACTTACCGTGGTTTGATCGTAGGCCTGATGTCCTGAAGTCGGCTCTGGGGAGGGCAGTAGAAAAAGGATCTCTGGAACAAGTTACTGGGAAAGGAGCTCAAGGAACATTCCAGGTAAAACTGAACAACGTTTAAGTCTTTTGGATAAAAAAACGAAACATTTCAACAAGAAGAATCCACCCAGAGGTTCGGACTTAACTTTGTTGGATTTTTCTCCCTGGATTATTGAGCACGAATCAGGATGTTCTGAACAACATTGTTTAATGACACTAACTCAGTATGAAGTATTTTCTGTTGACGTGTGAAAGCACCACAGTATGTACTTTTAAAGTGTTTCTGTCCAACAGCTTAAGCACACTGGAAAAGACGCCCAGCTGAAGGGCAGCACCCTGGAAGACGCCATCACTGTTGCTATCATAGCCATGAATGAACCCAAAACCTGTAGCGCCACATCTCTTCGCAAATATCTCATCGACTCCAACAAGGACGTGAGGGAGCACCTGCTGGGTAAGTCCCCTTGATTGTTCGTGCTTGGACATCTTGGAAGGATTCCTGCTAACTCCGTACTTTGTACATGCATCAGATCTGACTCTTTTTTTTTTTTTAAAGCGGGTGATTCTTCTCTAGCTGAAAACCCATTTAGTTGTAAAAGCACAGCTCCACTGCAGGCTGCTGCTGAGTCAGACTGCAGTCAGCTCAGTTTCTAGATCTGTTCTTGCGCTCGACGACGAGCTCCGCTTCTCCAGCTTCCTTTTAGACATTTTTGTCAAGCTCCAGCATGCATGCACGTTGCACAACCCCCTGCCTTTGACTTGGTCTGAATTTGTAGCTACGGTTTGCTGATCGCCTCTTCTTTTCTACTCTTCAGACAAAATGAATCATTTTGACCAGTAAAAATGCAGACGACCTGTCATAAAGTTGCTAAAATTATCTTCTCGAGCGTTTTTCTTAAGTTGTGATTGAACTCTGATATGCAAAAATTATTTTTTTGTCAGAATCGGCAAATTTTGTCAAATTACTTTTGTAGTTGAGCGGTCTAAAGGATTAAATCTGAACGTGCTGAAATACTGTAGATTTCAGCTTTTTAAAAATTAATTTTAATAAATTATGCTCTAATTTGAATTAAATTTTAGAAATCGTGCCATAGACTTCATCAGTTTAACATAATTCTGATACAATCCCTTTAAGAAAAGATATTCACGCTGCTCACTTTCTGGAAGTATAAATATATGGAACTAAATGTTGAGTTTGTGTAAAACGTTTTACTGCAGGACGTCGATAGAGAGGAAACGTCTACACATGAGCCTTTTAAGATTCCTCAAAAATGAAGTTTTGTAGCAATATAAAATCCATTTCCTGCAGAGAATGACCGTAGCTTGACAGCAGTGTTCAAGTGAAGCCTCACGTTAAGGATGCCATGTTTTTATTGTGAGCATTTTATTTTTAACCTCTGAATGTAAAACACAACCGTTTTCTTTTAGTGGCCAACCTGAAGAGGACCCTGACCAAGTGCAAAGTGCTCGGCTGGATGAAGCAGCTCACTGGTCACGGCTTAAATGGGACCTACGGACTCTCGTTTCCATACTACCCAACGTATTCCCACTTATTTCAATGTTTTGATGCGTTCTCATTATCAGTATTTTGCTTCTGACTCTGGTCCACGCGTACTCTTCATATATTTGTCTTTTGAATTTAGCTTGAGTGCTTTATTTTCATCTTTGTTTGTAGTCCTACCATCCTGTATCCAGACAAGTTTAAAGAGCTCCCAAAGAAACCAACCAAACGGAGGCAGACAGCTGACACTTCAGATGAAGAGGAGGAAGAGGAAGATGAGGAGGAGGAAGAGTCAGAAGATGAAGCTCCTCCTCCTAAGAGGTGCTTATAAAAAATATACCTGTCTTTTTTTGTGTCTCTCTGCATCTCCAACTCATATCTATCCTCTGAATTCACTCTTTAGGAGAGCAAACGCCCTTTCACGTGCAAATCGACGTCCTCCGCCAGCCAAGAAACCCCAGCGTGCCAGTCAACCAAAAGCTAAAAGCCGGGGCCGTACACCTGCAAAAAAGTCTCCCGTTAAAACGGCAACATCTTCAGCCAAGAGGTCAGGAAAGAAACCGTCAGCCGCCGTCAAAGAATCTACAGCAACACCTGTTAAGAGAGGTGCACCTTCAAGAAAGCCTAAAAAACCAGTGGTTAAAAGGCTGAGCTCAAGAATGACCAAGAAACCAGTCTACAAGGAGTCTAGCCCCGAGCCCGAGTCTGAGGAGTCCGAAGTCGAAGAGGAACCAAAGGGCGGGTCCAAGCGATCTAAACCAGAGTCGTCACCAGAGCCTGAAGTTGAAAAGGAGACAAAAAGAGGCGGAGCCAAGCGAGCCAAACCCGAGTCATCCCCCAAGGCGCCCAAAGCTGCAAAGGGAGCAGCGAGAGGCGTGTCCAAACGGTCTAAGCCTGAGGACCCTACCCCAGAAGAGCCTCCAGTGAAAAAACAGGCAACCAAAGGTGGGTCCAAACGTTCTGAGGAAGCGTCGTCCCCTAAGCCCCCACCTGAGAAACCTGATGTCAAAAAAGCTGCCAAGAGCAGCAAACAGTCCCCTCGAAAGTCTAAGAGGGGCAAAAACTAAGACCAACGGCGCCTTCCAGTAACTGGGCTGTGCTATATGTTTTTTGTTTTCTATTTTTATCATTGCTTTCTCCCCTTTTTTTAGAGGGCGGTAGTTTTAGTAGTTTAAAAGTTTTTTTTTTTTTTTTTCTATTGTTGAATAACAGTGTTATTCTGACAGTTATGTTAGCTGTACTCGGACGTTCTTTTAACCCTGATGTGTAGAAACGCTTGGTTAGTGTTGCTGTTGAAGCTGCCAGTTTGAGAAAGGATAGCAAAACGCACCATACTGTAATTAGAGCCGTGTTGTTCCTCAGTAGGCACTGGCAGCACACATTCCTCATTTCAAAGAAGTGTTCTGGAGGGGGCGGAGTGTCTAATTTTAAGTTTTATTTTTTACCTAATTTAATATCTTTATCCTGTCACGATAAAATCACAGCATTTTGGTCGTGCACAATCTGAAAAATCCACGTGTAACCTTTCGTTTTTTCTTAAAAAAAAAAACAAAAAAAAAGCCTGCTGGAGCTCATGCTGATGATTTATATGAAGATAAAACACTGTTAGTATTCAAATCACGTTCAAGAAAAAAAAAAATCCTGTTCGTGTGTGAGTGTGTAAAAGCAGATACATGAATTGATTTTATAGCTTCACAGCTGTTGCTCAAATTATACGAACTGTGTGTTGTGAATAGGATCCAGGAGCTCGTCAGCTCGTACATACCCTGCATGCATGTATTCCTTGTGTTTAGCCTTTTTCCAAGTCATTAATAAAATGACTATATTTGTAACATCTTGGTATTTGTTCTCATTTGTTAATAATATGTTTCTGCTTCCACACTTAGTGGTTGTACATATATTAGCTGGGTACACTTTTTTTGGAGGTCAAATCCCAGGAAAGCTTAATATACTGATAAATTTAGTGCCAACATTTATTTACTTATCATTTTATGGTTAAAAAAAAAATACTGCGCTTTCACGTGTTTTACATCATATCTTAAAATACACCATTTAATTATTGCAATGTATATATTTCTAAAATTTGCTGTATTGCTCTTAAACTCACTATTCGTAGTGAAATTAATAAAGAAAGCCTGTAAATTTTACTCTTATGTTTTGACCCCAGAGGGAGTAGTAAAATAATTTAATTAAAAGTTTGTAAATTTTAGCACAATATCTGTAGAACTGAGTTAAACAGGTGTATTATGAAATTCTTTATCAAAAGGGCTCGTGAACGGTCGGCACAGATATTCAGACAAGATGGAAAAAATAAAACACCAGAGACTGTTACTGCTAGGATAAATAAGTGTCATTTATTAACCTGCCACAGAAAACAGCCAAGCAGAAAACATGTACACTCGTACACTCTTAACACACAAAATGATATGAAAGAACTTCTCACCGTGACACTGGCCGGGAAGTCGTTTTCGACCCAGGTAAAGAAGAATCACATCATCAATTACTGCATGGCACCAGCGCGCTCTGGTCCACACAAGGCTTCCGACTCTCTGTGTTTGATACATTTCTTATATACCTTTCCCTGATCGCGTGAGAGCAGTGCAAAACAACTTTGATGGTTGCCAGGAGGGCAGATTTAATTAAATCTGTTTTCCCATCTTCAAAGCAGTCTGTGCAACAGAGCGATGGTTTCATAAAAACATGTCCTTCAAAACCTGGGTCACTGTAACCTTAAGATTGGGCCCGATCTTCTGGCTAGAGCATCCCCCAGAGAACTTTAATTACTCCAAAACACATCTGCAGCACAGGCCTGATTTTTAAGCAGATAAGCTGCATCAAAAGTGAGTATAAGTGTGTTTAAATGAGTGTAATATAGGTATAGATTGACATAAAAGCATTAAAATAATCATTCCTATATCAACAGGGCGGAGGCCTCTGTGTCCAGCTCCCTCTTACAATGCTCTTGTTGCTAGTATCACTCAGCCCCCTGTCAATAGCAAGCGGCTATGGCACTAACGATCGATTGTTAGGCTGATGGTCCTTTTGCATGTGAACAAGTAGTTTGGGCCGTCACCAGCAAACTGATCCACTATGAGACCGAGTTTGTTGCAGCTCAGGCTGAAGAAGTCACGTGGATTAAATATGAAACGTCTCAACAAAGATGAACCTGACTCAACCTTGTTAGAACCATCCACACTCGCCCAATCGGAGAGACATTTTGGACTGTGAGTGAAAACTACCCCAAGAAAAAAATATATATATATGGCTAAAAAAGGTTTTTTTTTTTAAAAAACTGGATTTAATTTGTAACTGAAGATGCTGAACTTCTCATCCGCGGAGCTTTCTCAATCCAAAGAAACGAGGAGTGTGGGGTTGAAGTAATAAAGCTGAGGTGTTCTGTAAGTTTGCATAATGCAGATTGACCTCTCTGAGTGAAGGTTTGTTTTTAACCTTTTGTTTTACCGTGGCCTGGATCACTGGGAATCTCCACCAGTGTATAGCATAGATGGATATAACTCCACCTAGAAGGCTCCAGGATGGGAGGCAGTGCTGTGACGTCACTGAGAAGAAGCCACTCTAACCACTTCACCACCGCCCAGGGGGCAAGCACAACTACAAATGTTCCTCAAGACATTTTGATGATTTTTGATGTTGGTGGCCGTCCTGAGCTACGTTGACTCAAAAAATGTGCATTAAATTATTACTTTCTGAGAGTTTCATTAAAATAGTTAAAAACTAGAAGTGTTTTGCTAACAAACACCCAACTACTTTAAAAACAACTAAATGATCTTCTAGCAGTATTGTCTCTTTCAGCTACTACAGTTTCATTTTGGATTAGCTGTGGTGGCCATTTTTAATTGCTCTTTCTAAACGTTAATCAGACATGACGTAATGAGTAACCAGCTTATTATTTTGCAACACTGATCCGACATAATGTTGCCAACAAACGTGTGACAGGCTTTGAAAAACTTTTAGGTGGGTGTCCTGATGCATGCTCAATAATCCAGGTGGAGCAATCCAAAAACGCTAAATCTGGTCCTCTGGATATTAAAAAATAAATGTTTGTTTGTTTTAAATGTCCAGAGGACCAGATTTAGCTCTTTTTTTATTTTAGGTGGGTGTTTTCTGTGTTACCTGTTGTGTCAGTTCAGGCTCACAGACATTCACCTGAACACATTCTTTCTTTTACGCACATGAAGCAAACGCTGTTTGTCTTGGTTTGCATTGCGCAACATGAGGAGGAGCGTGCACCAGGAAGGAATGTGGGGGGGTCTGCTGACTTTCATGTCCTGGGAGAAGTTTTCATGTTGCACCTCCTCCTCCTCCTCCTCATGGAGCTCCGCCTCGGGTTAACTGCACACCTGAGACACGGAGGAGCAGCAGGAGCAGGTGAGGAACAGATGAGGAGCAGCAGGAGCAGGTGAGGAACAGGTGAGGAGCAGCAGGAACTTGGACTGATTTCAGGACGAGTCGTGTCCGTGATGTGACGCGGAAACGGTTCATTCCGAGTCATTTGACTCGAAATGTTTGCTTTCCCTCGCGCTTTGGGACATTTTTAATATTTTTTGTTCATTTTAGCTGTTTTTTTGTTTTTAATTATTATTATTTCTTGTGTATTGGAAGCAAACAAAACCAAAACGATCCTTAAAAAAAAAAAATCTCACTCGTTCAGGTTAAACATTAACTTTCTTTGCGTCTCCCAGTGTAGGTGAACTACAACCCAGTCCAACTTTGATTTTCAACTAGTTAACTGTGTTTTGAAGTAAATTGATGGTCGTGATGGGTGAGGCTCCAGTCAAAGAGGAAGGTGCAGTGACTCGATCAGCAGAGGTATGTCTACACATGTTCATGTATGTCTACACATGTTCATGTATGTC